CGTCGTCTCTCTACTACCTACTTCTTCTTCTCGGTACTACTCTCGTCGTCTCTCTACTACCTCTTCTTCTCGTCGCGTCTCTCTCTCTCTCTTCTTTCTTTCTTGCGCGTTATCTCTCTCTCTCCCTCTCTCTCTCTCTCTCTCTCTCTCTCTCTCTCTCTCTTCGCGCGCTATCTCTTGCTGTTTCTCGCGCACTATCTCTCGCTCTTACTCTCTATTTTTCCCTCGCTCACGGAGCATAGCCCCATGTTGCCAGAACGACTCTACGCACCGCTCCCGGCGATGCCAATGCTGCTGTTTGCAATCGCTTACGTTGTGCTGAATGTTTTCACAGTTCAGGCGCTAAGCTACGAACAAAACTCCTAAGCTTCCCGAGTGGTGAGTGAAATGTGTGCCTGCGTTCACCCATTAGAGAGGTCACACGCACTCGGGACGCGTGGAGATCGAGGTAAATAGCCGAACAGTAGGGCATCCTGCGCAGCAGCAGCGATAGCAGCAGGCCAGCAGTAGTAGCAGCAGCAGTAGCAACGGCAGTTGTGATATCAGCAGTAGTAGCAGTAGCAGCAGCAGTAGCAGCAGTAGCAGCAGTAGTAGTAGCAGTAGCAGCAGTAGCGTCAGTAGCAGTAGTAGCGGCACTAGTAGCAGCAGCAACAACAGCAGCAGTAGCAATAGTATCAACAACAACAACATCCGCAGCAGTAGCAGCAATAGCAGCAATATAAACAATAATAACAACAACAATAATAACAACAACAGCAACAGCAGCACCACTGCCACACCGTCGACAGCGCCCCCCCCCCCGCCACCCGGCTCACCCACAAACACCGACGACCGACCGACGCTCGCGCATGCGCACCCGCGTCCTACTCACCGTATCCGACTTATCGCCGTCCGCACGAAGAAGCCCCTGCTGCAGATACCCGGCGTTGTCATGGTTACGCGCATCCTCATCCTCCGTCTCGTGAGCCTTCGTCGCCTCGGCAGACGCCTGCGCGTGCTCCAGCACAGTGCCGTGGTCGTGCGCGTCGGCAACGACGACGCCGTGCTTCTGAGAGCGCTTTTGTCGACGACGAAGATGATCGCTGTGGTCGGCGCCATCGTCATGGTCGCCACCGTCATGGTCGCCAACTTTATTGTTACCATCATCATGGGCGCCATCATCATGGGCGCCATCATCATGGGCGCCATCATCATGGGCGCCATCGTCATGGGCGCCGTGGTCATCTTCGTCATGGCCATCGTGGTGCTTGTTATCGTTATGGTCGCTGTGGTCAGCATGATCGTCCTGACCATCGTGGTCCTTGCTATCGTCATGGTCGCCGTGGTCAGCATGATCGTCATGGGCGCCGGCTTCATCGTGATAGTTTCCGATACCAAGGTCTTCCATGAGTATCTCCAATTCTGCGAACGCATCACAACGCACTTTATTTCTCCCGCCGTGCATATAAATAATAAACCTATTATACCACTATCTGTATTTATATATCATTCTATATAATTATATATCTATGCCTATACCACTACCTGTATTTATATCTATGTCTATATCGTTGTATATGTTTATGTCTATGCCTATACCTATGTCTCTCTCTCTCTCTCTCTCTCTCTCTCTCTCTCTCTCTCTCTCTCTCTGTCCTCTGTCTCTGCTACTCTTCTCTCTCTCTCTCTCTCTCTCTCCTCTCTCTCTCTCTCTCTCTCTCTCTCTATATATATAATATATATCAGGAGGTATAAATGACAAATTACGCTCCTGTCATTTAGCTCTGTCCAATACCTCGCCGTCCATGACAAATACGTTTGTCCATTATACGCTTCGTGATATATAATATTATCTAATGCAAGTCTCCTCCGTATATACTCCTGGGGTGCGCGTCAGGAAATAGCATAAAATATTGTGAGCATTCTTACCAAGATTGATATCACAACTACTTATTACGGTTCAGAAACGGGACACTGGTGCTACTGTGTGTAGAGTCTATGCTACCGGTTCCCATCTCAGCTTGAGTTGATCCCGCTGCTGTTTTACAAATGCTGCTACTGGATACAACCGGGTTCAACGAAACAGATTGTCATCGTTCTATCGCTCCCCTTGAATCGCATTCCGGCTGATCTAACTCGGCCGTTTACGTACAACCTAGCCGTGAAATTGCTGTCTGGATAGTTCGAGCGACAGAGGAATAAACGTGCATGTGTAGTCGCGGACGCGGTCAAAGCAAGCGAGTTCAATAATGGCAATTGCTATAGGAAGCACCGGCCGAGAAAAATTTTTACATTGAAAAGCTATTATACGCTCAGCGCATCCCACGAGAATGGAAGATTAGCGCTGTGACGCTGTATTTCGGACACGATAACGTAGATACGGTAGGAGAGAGAGGTGATCCTTCATCGTTCAGTCTGTTCACCCGCAACGTCAGCCCGCTAAATCTTATCCTTCGTATATGCGTGCATACCGGTTTGAATGTTCGCCTAACGCACGTTATCTCACCTCCCCCTAACACAACCTATTACGCCCCACACGCTAACTCTTCTCCCCTCCAACACAACCTATACCCCCACGTGAACTTCCCGCCCCTAAAACACAAACCTATAACCCACGTGAACTCCGCCTCCCTAACATCACCTAATCCCCCGTGAACTCCCCTCCCCTAACACAACCTATACCCCCACGTGAACTCCCCTCCCCTAACACAACCTATACCCCCACGTGAACTCCCCTCCCCTAACACAACCTATACCCCACGTGAAATCCCACTCCCCTGACACAACTATAACCCCTACGCAAACCTCCCTCGCCTAACACAAACCTATACCCCACGTAAACTTCCCTCCCCTAACACAATCCTATGTACTCCACGTGAAACTCCCTCCGCCTTAACACAACCTATATACCCCTACGTTGAACTCCTCTCCCCATACACAACCTATACCCCACGTGAACTCCCCTCCCCTAACACAACCTATACCCCCCGTGAACTCCCCTCTCCTAACACAACCTATACCCCCATCGTTGAACTTCCCCTCCCAACACACCTATAACGCCCACGTGAACTCCCCTCTCCCTAACACAACCTATACCACCACGTAAACTCTCCTCCCCTAACACAACTTTTACCTCCACGTAAACTCCCCTTCCCTAACACAACCTATACACCGATCACAAACCATGCATACTCTTCCTCATGCCATCCATCATTCCTCTGATCTCTCTCGTACAAACCTGCCCTCATAATACAGCTACACACTGATCCGACCGCGTACTGTGTACGGACATAGTGTTGCTACTATGCGAATATACTGCTCTGTCCACGTACGCGCAAGGGCTTGGTGATACTACACTAACCTGCTCCTTTACCGAGCTAAAGTGCTCTACCCACGTACCTTCAAGAGCTAATTATTAGCTCTGGTACCTTCAAGAGCTTGGTACCTTCTATAGCACTATAGCGCTATAGTTTCTATCCACGTACCTTCGAGGGACAGGTGTTGTTTTCTCCGTATCTCTCTAGCACGTCGTAAACGAAGAAGTGTGCGTCAACGCTGTGCCGGATGCAACTACCTGTAGAAAAACATACACAAAAAACATACACCTGTGAGTTCTCTAAGCTGTTTACGGACGAACCTTCCGAATAGCGAACGTACACAGCGCCCGGCGCACCTAAACGCACCGCATACTGATTCACTGCATACACGCGGCAATATTTGTTCTATGATGTGTTTTATAATGTGGAGAGTGTGAAATTTTGTTTTCTATGCGGACAATATCGACGGTGTGGGGAAGGCTTACTCCCCGTAAATGTTTATATATATATATATATATTACTGATCGTGTTCTTGCTGCTTAACATGAAATTGGATGCAATATATTCGAGACCTAATAATACATGTATTA